GCCGAGGCAGTAGCGTCGGAGATTAGCTTCGCCGCATCGCTCTCTCCCTCGGCACGGATAATCGCGGCCCGCCGCTCCTGCTCGGCCTTCATCACGACGAACTTGGACCGCTCAGCCTCCTGTTGTGCCACCTGCTTCTGCTCCACCGCGCGCGAGAACTCGCTGCCGTAGGAGAGGTGCGTGATGGCGACATCATCGAGAACAATGTTGAAATCCTTGGCGCGGCGAATGAGACTGTCACGAACGAGAGCGGATACCTGAGAACGGTCGGTGAGGAGCTGATCAGCGTTGAACTGCGCGACGACAGCCTTGAGGACCTCATTGCCTATGGACGGAAGAACCTTCTCATCGTACTCAAGGCCGAGGTTCTTTACAATAACAGGGAGCTTGCCGATTTCAGGACGGGATAAGACGCGGAGTGTGAGGTTGACCATCTGAAGGTCTTTGGTGCCGGAGATGGAGGAGAAGGTGTGAGGGCGCGTGCGGATGTCGAAGATGTAAGGCTTCTGGACCCACGGGATGAGGAAATGGGTTCCCTCGCCTACGGTGTCGTCGAGAATGCCTCGGAAACGGTCGAATAGGACGGCACGCTGGCCACCGTCGACTGTGTATAGGGAGGAGGATAGGGCGGTGGCCGCCACGCCCAGCCCGAAGGCGGAGCGGGCAAGATTCGTCAGGAAAGAGACGGCGGCTTGGCTGCTTCCCATTTGGTAGAGGGATTAGGGTTTTGGATGGTTTGCTCGACTTTCTTGATGAGTTTGATGGGTTTTGGGATGTTGCTTTCTTGGTAAGCTTGATGAGTTTTCGGCAGGGAAATGATATTTTAACCTGTTTTTACAATTAGTCATGCTTTGTTATTTGTTCTTTGTAGTGACTTGGCACAGATGATTGATTTGACTGGATTTAAGAGTAATTTTTTTTTGTTGTTTTTTTAGTGAAGTTGTGAGTAATCAAGGGTGAATTTAGAAGCAAAGTTTGTGAGAACGAGAATTAATGTAAGATTTGATTTAAATTAGTTTAATTAGTAAAAATTAAATATTACTAAAATATTCCTAATTAATAAAGTAATATAAAATGTTATTTATTAATGTGATATTTAATTGTAAAAATGTTTATAAAGAGACCAAAATCATAAATATTTTTAACATTGATTTTTAAAAATTATAATGTAGTAAAATGAATTTATTTTTAAGTAGTATTTGTTTGTAATATAATTTACTAACAAGTAGTATCAATTTATTTGTTACGGAAGTGAGATTGATTAATTTTAAACAAACATATAATTATACGAAGTTAAAATATTACATGACCTAAAAAAAGTGTCAACATAATAACATACAAATATATTTGTAATAGTTCATGATGACCTTGCTTCACTGAGGTATCGTTGCAATCTATTGAAACGATATTGTATTGGCATCCCTATTAGACGTTTTGTATGAGATGGATGCGAAGATAATAGGTCGAAGCACTGTCTGAATAAATTATGATCTTCAATGTTCATAGTCCGTAATAAGTTTTTCTGTAGTTGGATTAGATGATTGAATCTTAGCATTTACCAGGGATATTCGACTCTCCATGGCCTATGTATGTCGTTCAAGAGCAACACATAGTCTTCTTCTTTGATTATTTAGTTGTTGCAGTTCATTTATGATTCGAGAATCCATCTGATTTGCATTTCATTAAGTTGACCAATAAATAAAAGTATGAAAACTAATGTCAAAGATTCCTAACATTCAAAAATAGGTAATGTAAGTTATGAAACACATAAGTCAATTTAAGCAAAAAAGTCATGTAATACATTCTCGGAATAGTAATCAACTTAATCATCTAAATGGTGAAGAATTTAGTTAACATTTTGATTCAGGTGAGCAAATTGGCGGTTCATGTCGAGGGATAGGTTTGCCAAGTTATCTTCAATATGTTTAACCTGCACTTGCATTTGTTCCATACCCTGCATTCTGTGTTGCAAGTCTTGTACCCCTTCCCACATTTGAGTCATCATATTAGGATTTGAAAGATATGGAGGAGGTTGAACAAGGTTGTCATGATGGTCTGGTTGCTCTTCTTCTTCATCATCACCGACAGCGTGTTGCCAAACATTGTTGACATTAACAATATTCAACCTCTTCAAAGAATTTATTAAAAAATGATGTTTGGTCCCAATATGAGTGTTGGCATCGGCATCAACATATACTCCACAATATTGCATGATTTGGGTGATCAGGACACCATATGGTAGGGGTGTGTCATTGGCCTTGCATTTAAGCATATGTTGCATGATGTGATGAGGCCAATTGATAATTATATTATTTTTAAGCACCCATATCATAAAGATATCCTCTTGCAATAACTTTGCAAAATTTGCAGGTCGTGGAGTCAGCATGTGGACAATAATATAATGCAGAAGTCTATCATTAATATTCAAACACCCAACTATTTTAAGACGTTGACCCTGCATTTCTGGTCTAACCATAGTAGCTAATGTCATCTCCCGATCATACGGAAAGTCATCTGGGACTTTGAATAAGACAATTTTTTACCCTTCTACTTCATATTAGCAACATTCAACCAATCAGCAGGTTTCAATCTAATTCTTCTCTTGTTGACCTCATTGAGCAAATATCCATTTGCAGAAATCTTCAGATTTGAATAAAAAACTTTGATTAAATCCGGATAGAAGGGTCCTTGCAATGTAAGAAAATCGACCACCCCTTGAAATAAAAGATGATGTTGGAAAAATAACCTTGAATCGGCAAATGATTCGAAATTCATTATCTTTGGACCAACAATATTCCTTGTGTAGAAATCAGCTGCATAGTTTTCCATCTGATGGTTGTGAGTGAAGAAACGACGCTGATCTAATTGTTCTTCAACAGATGGTCTGACATAGGTTGCATCTTCTGGCTCAGTGAGGATTTCTTTTCCCTTACGACTTTTTCTAGGCCTTTTGGTTGATGAGGCCATTTGACAATTTCTTCAACAAAACAATTAATGAAAACAATAACAAGGTAAGTTATAACAAATTATTGAATATTAAAAATAACAACAAGCAAAGACAAACCATTAGATCATAACCATAACCATAACTTAAAAATTTAAGATGGATGAAAACCAATAAGTCATAATTACATTACAGGTACATCTCATAATATAATAGTAATACAGCTAGTTAGATAACACATCCTAACAGTCACCACCCGAGATCATTTTACATAATTTATTTCACCGCTTGTGTGGTGGAAGTCCCATCAACCTCTTTGTACATGTGGGGTTTCCACATAAGAAATCATAACATTGGTCGAGCAAGTTTTCATCAGCAATGTTCATAGCACTCAACATTTCATAAATGTTGCCCTCTGTGTATGTGTACGTCGAGGTGCGACGGAGTATTTGATTTCTATCTTCCATTGCTGAGACTTGCCGCATGGCTACATCAGAAATTACACCAAAATGAACATTTGATGAGCTAAGGACATTTGTGAAACCATCCAGGCTGGTCGTCAACTTATCAAATTGAGAATCAATGTCATCGACCATAGGTGCCTTCCTTTTGGAACCTCGTGAGAATGAAGTTCCACTGGATGGGACGGAAGGCATAGATTGAGTCTGCCCTGGACTATATTCATCCACAGATGGATGAGGGGATGGTGGAGTTGGGTCTCTGTACCCCGTCCACTCAGGCTGTTCTGGAATGTACTCAATATTTTGATTTAGATCAACACTCACACGAGGCCCAAGTCGTTGTCGACGTGCTTGACGAGCGGTCCGAACACCACTCCCAGTAGCTCGATCAGCAGCCCATAACTCCACCATTAAATTGTAGTGTTTGATACTATTAACTCTCCACTTTGTCGCACTTGGCCTCGACTGAAACAACATACATTACAAAAACACTGGTTCATATTATGTATTATAAGAATCCACAAAATATGAGTATTCATTTTAAAATACATGAATGAGGTCCATCCATACTTCGTCCTCAGCTTCAAATCTCATACTGACGGTGTTCCAAGCAAATCCACTCAATCCAAAAAAGAGGTCATGTACCTCACGCCATTTATTTTTCAAGACTTTTTGACGATTTTGAACATTATTTTTCGTAATTGCGACATACCCAGAGCTATGAAGATGATCAACTATGTTACTATATGCTTGGGATGTCCAGCTTCCGTCAACCCTATTACCGATTCATGATTCCTTAATCATAGAGTGTAGAAGACGTGCGTCCATGTCCTCTGTCCACTTAATGAACTCTCTAGTAGGACCAGAGGACTCAATGTCGACTGTCTTTCCTCTGCTCATTTTATACCTATTTGATAAACAAAATGGTAAGAAGTTAAGATTAAACATTGATAATATAATGTTCTTGTCATACCCATAACATCAAATAGTCATACAAGACAATAATATACAATAACTAAGAGTTTTGATAATCTCGCCACATATGATCTGCTATAGAATCCCTGATACGACTACCAATCCTATGGTCCTCTTCTCTAACTTGAGATGATGAAACATTATTGATACGCTGTCGTTGAAGCTATCAAATCAATACTACTTTTCAAGGCAACTTCAGTATTGCCAAGTAGTATTTAAGAAAGTAGATAGGGTTAACGTAACCTTGAGTCGTCTCCAACGAACACAGAATTGCTTTCGAATATGTGACTCTTATGAATGTTATGCAATGCTTATGAATAAAAGTAATGGTTTAAGAATGTTTAAAGAATGAATAAGAAACTTAAAAACAGTTATGATAAAATAGGCTAATTCCACTGCTTTTCCAAGATAGATTCATCATCGGTTATTCACAGATAATTGTTCAATTGATTATTATTCAAGTTTCAAATTAATTAAAGTACATTCTTAATTAATTTGAGGGTGATCATGCATTTAACCAAAGTAAATTCTCAATCAAATGCAAAACCTTTCTAGATTATTCACAATAAATTCAACCAAAGTACATTCTCAATCAAATTTTATTGTGTTTAATCATGTCTATTCTTAAATCTCCTAACCAAATTAAAAGCTAATCAATCAAAGTAAATTCTCAATTGATTATAGTTGAAATTATTACTAATCAACCAAAGTACATTCTCAATTGATAGTAAAAACCATTTAATCATATGAAAGAGAACCCAATGGGAGAGAAAAAGGGGGAATGCAAGGAATGAGTGTGTTTCGGAGCGATGACGCAGAGCACGGGGGAGGGAAGAAGGGGGGGGGATGAAAATAAAGGCAGGAGAGAGAGAGAAGCGAGGGATTATTCTGTTT